ACTTAGCACGCCTGTATTTTCTCCTTGCAATTTAGTGATAAAAAACACAGTGAATATACCTTTTCACTTTTTGAAATACACATAACACTCGGATTTAAATCCGAGGTTTTCGCATTTATTTAAAACTAAAAGTACAAAGATTATAACAAGTAAAATAAACTTCATAAAAAATAGTTTACATGGATTTTCATCTGGATTCATATTTGACCCACATCATGATCCTATGTGATTACGGAAATGTGTTCTATCCACACTAAATTTTACTTCAGCCAGTTTCCTTGCAGTATTTGTTGCAATCAAATCTTTACCAATATGATTGTGTAAATATTGAACTAAATGGCATCCGTCATCTTATACTGCTGTTTTAGGTACTACTCCTGAAACTGAAATTATAAAACCAATTAATTAGTGCTGTTTGCGATTACATTAAACGATCATACTCTTTATACTATTTGTTAACAGCAACAGAATTTCTTTCAATGTTTCTGTGCTAAAGATTTCACCACACGTAGTCACAACTCCACAGTTGGTTACAGCTGCTATCACACTAAAACTTCGACTACATTTCCGTATATAAGAATCAGCTTTGGCTTTACTAGTACGGCAAGTGGTGGCACCAAAGCCTCTTTCCTTTCGTTTTTGGTTTTTGTTGAGTCGACAAAAACGTGAAGATATCACTAATTTTCGTCTATTCGTTATATTGATAGACTTTTCAATTTCTAATTGATTATCAATATGAAGAGAACAATATTTTGAGTAACGAACTGGAGTACGGCAACAACCAACAACCATTTTATCAAATAAATCTGTCTTTACTTGAATATCTTTTACTTTGCACACACGTCGTCGACATTTCTGATGACCATCAACCACTATTGCTTCCGAACACTTGTCTCGATTGCACAAACCAATAGTTTCTTTGTGTCGAGACCAAAAATAAATAAAAGAAGCTAGAAGACGAGGATAATTATTCCACGCCCTGTCATCAAAAAGGTCTAAAGACTTTAGCAAATCAACATATGGAGTACCTACAAACAAATCCAACTGAACAATATTGTAAATATACATTGTACATGCTAATGTTCGTCTGTCTATAACATATTCTTGATGTTGTTCACTGTTAAATGCTTGCCGATTTAAACTATCAACAGTTTTTAACCACGAATCGGCATTAGTTATTAAATCAGCAGTGTATTGTTCAATTAGAGCCCGTTTATAAGTATATCTTCTGCCAATGTAAACAAAATCACCATGATACAAACTTTTTGTACTAATCCTTTTAGTATCACCTTGTTCAATAAAATTGGGATAAATCACCAATGGTTTCGTATTCTTTCGATTGTTACTGCTCTTATGTTTGCATGTTAATGAATAAGCGATACCTTGAAAAATCATATAAAGGACTATTTAACGTAAGTTTATGATCAAAACAAGAAAAAAGAAGATTCTTAATCGATAGCATTTTTATCAATGACCAATTGTTATGGAACGATATTATTCTGACTTTAATCACATTTGATTTTTAGTCGATTTCAACTGTGATGATCAAAAAGAAGTTAAACATGAACTAATATCTAGTCTTATAGCATGTTATGTGCGTCCAAGGTCGTATGGGACTATGCTTTTTCTTTATTTAGTTAATGACCTCAAACAAAATCGAAACGTTCATTTACTTAGTTAGAATCTATATGGAAATAGGGTGTTTCAAAATTATCCCGCTACTAAAAGGAATAAAAAATGTTATCAAATAATCACAATTAGATTAATATATATATTTGAAATCGGCTGTTAATTGGGAGAACACCGATTAAAATTAGTATTTTGTTCGTTTTATTTTTATATGAATACTATTACTAATACCTGGCAGTACTTTTCCACCTTGATGACAAATGTAAACCATTGTTCTGTTACACTCTTTTGTACTTAAATATTGACTGCATGTTGGATATATTACTATAAATGGTTCCATATGATGAGCAGCTGCATCAGTTAATAAATGTTGATCGATATTAATATAACCACATGCTTGTAGTTGTCGTGTCTGACTCGAAAAAAAATCGAGCAGCGTACGGACATGATTAATATTATGATCAGTTCCAAATGTTAATTTCAACTGTGATGCAATGCGTTCGACACGCTCAGCATCATATTTTGAATAAATACTGTTTAAATGAACCACAAAGACTATTTCATATAGACAAAAGTTTTTTAAAAACTCTTGAATTATAAAAATATGCTGTTCATTTGTTTGAGATGCATCTACTTCATTTAAATTACTGTTTGAGGTTTTTGTCAATGAATTCATCTACAAAAGGAAGCTTTTCAAATTAATCCAAAGTCTTACTGCAAACCATTCGACTCATGTATAATGCAAACACAGCTACAAATCTTAATTGATGTATAGTACAGTACTAGTTTTAAACAGCGCCCCGTCAATAAATTTTAATCACCACTTTTCAAATATAAATCATAATCAGATATTATATAATTAAACAAAATTAAAAATAGAAGAGAACACTTTACTGTTCAATTTTATTTAAAAATTCGTACAATTCATCATCACATATGTAGGTAGGATCACTTCCAAAGACGAGAATACTTCCTATTCCCAAAAGTTACACATTCCTGCATCGCCTTCTGACACGCAATCCCTTACCATCAATTCCGGAAAAGCAAAAACGACCCTTTCCCTCAAAAACATGCAACAACCAGGAATTTCTGATTCCTAGTTCCCTTCACATCCCAAATATCAACATCCAATTTCTGGTCATTCCGGGTGATTCCAGAATTCGAAGGATAAACTGAATAACGAGATCATCATCTCAAAAGATCTATTCGATATCCACCCGGAATTCCGGAATTTCTGCATATGCGGAATCACTAGGACATGCAGGAATTCCGGGCCATTCCTGTCTATTCCGGAATTACAAATATGTCATGGATGGCTAAATGATCATTTCTCGAGCTTGAAGAAATGCAAAGCGGAATTCCGGAATTTGGGCACACCCAGAGACACTAGGATATGCAGTAATTCCTGGTCATTCCATATCGATGGAATTCCGGAGTTTTAAAACGGATTGGAATCTTTACTTCTATCGCAATGTTCAGTGGAACATTAATACGTGAACCTATGCAGGAATATGCAGGAATGTGCAGGAATTCCTGGTCATTCCGTATAGATGCAATTCCGGAATTCTAAAACGGAATTGCATCTTTATTTCTATAGCAATGTTCAGTTGAAGGTGAATACATGAACCTATGCAGGAATACGCAGGAATTCCGGAAAATTCCATCGCATATGTAGGAATTGGATGTCAGGAATTCCGGAATTGAATGTTGATGAGTTTGATAGCCTTGTGGAATGCAGGAATGTGTAACTTTGCGGAATAGGATGACTGCTCCTCATAAGTCCAACAATGAGTAGAGTAAATGAGATATTTTTAATATTTTTTCATATTCAAATTATCTTTTGGTGTTGGATACCATCTGTAACATCGATAAAAATTAGTCCTTGTGCACGTTGGAATACAACAGGTGTAATAGTGGCTGGCCTTGGTGGGAGAGGCAACAGGTAATTCAAAAAAGCACGCGATCAGAAGTAGAAGCAGATTAAGTTCTTTTCATTTTTGCACGCACATACATGTTATCGAAAGTATCCGATTCTTCTTTTAGAAATCAAAACCAAATGAAAATATACTGTCATTTCTACTAGAAACAGCTTGCTTATTTTGATGTATTTATATCATTATGGTGGTTATCAAAGAATGAAGTTATTTGTGAATAAGACTCAACAAGCTTGATCAACTTTCTGAGCCTGATGGAATTTTTATTCATAGACAAACCAGCACATTGTATGTAGTGGATGTTGATAATAAACGTATTCAAATGTTTTCACTTAATCAGTTATCGAGCATGGGCATCACCGTGATATCTAATGTCACATATCCTTCGCAGATCTATGTTGATGATGAGAACAATGAACAAACCATTTATGTCTCTCTTGAAGGCGACAACTGTGTCAAAAAAAAGGAAAAAAAGGGGCGCCAGACGGCGTGCAAGTTGGAGGTGAATGTTTATCCTGTGAAGATGTATGGGTTGACAAAGAGAAAAATTTTTATATGTCATCGGCGCAGACACATCGTGTATACAAGTGGTCACCACAAACAAATATCACGACAGTTGTCGCCGGTAGAGAAAATACTGAAGGACCGATGAGTTACTCTCTTAATTCTTCTGAAGGCATTTATGTCGAGGGTAGCAATGGTACGGTGTACGTGGCTGATTATGGAAATATCAGCATTCAGAAATGGTTAAAAAATGCTCTTGATGGTACTACTGTAGCTGGGCTTAACACGGGCGAAGCAGGCAGTGATCATGAATCGTTGTCAGATCCGACTGCTGTATGGATTGATGATGAAACCCAAGTTGTGTATATGGTAGATTCAACCAACCTAAGAATTCAGCGTTGATTACCAAATGCAATCATAGGTGATACCATTGCTGGTGGATTAGGTATGACGTAGACTTTTGACTAATTTTGCCCAACTTTGCGATCAGATGTTTAAAAAATACACTTGTTTACATACTGCAAACGATAATCGTTTCAAATAGCTCAAAGATGAAAATCGACCAAAAAATTAACTAATATTTTGAAGGAAAAAGAAAGTTTGATCTTTCACTGTTACGAACTGAGGATGAGGATGAATCACGATAAGAATTTGTAGCTTCCATTCTCGGTCACTCTTTATTAATCTTCTGGTGCATTGATAGATGTTCTAAGTATTTCTAACTGTTTTCGATTCTCGTTCAAGATTCAAAGATTTCATTCAGCGTTATAGAGAAAAAAATAGTTGAATTTGTATAATTATTTGATAACATTGGGTAATAGGTTTCGGCAATAGCACCAATAAATTCGGTCAACCTGCCGATTTGGGATTTGATGACAACGGCAACCTCTATGTGTGCGACTGCTTTTATGATCGTGTTGTCATGTTTACAACAATACACAATGAGCCATGTTTTCCAACATCGGCAGGTAGTTCAGGTTCTTTATCTTTAATATCTTCTTTTTTGACAATATTTGCATTATATTTTCATTTATTTGCCAAGTTTATCACAATTATGTACATGACAGTTCTAGCTCAGTTTGTTGAGCTGGGGAAGGTCACCAATTTCTTTCATAGGAGTTATCTTATAACTTTTCGGGGGCTACCTGGAAGACACTTATAAACCGTCCGAAACTATCTATGGGGATAGCTGTAAGTACTCAAGGGCCATTCCACGGAAGTAACCATAGATCTGCAAGAACTGCTTAAAGGGATGCCAATAAGTCTTCAAGGGCTACCAAGATGTGGTGTCTCTAACTTTTCGAGCACTGTCTAGCGGTAGTTCTGATGACTCTTCAAGAGTAGGTATGCACCGGTGCCAGTTTATAACTGGTAACTGGGTCCCAGTGGCACTGGGTATCCAGTTAACTGGGACCCAGTGACACTGGGTACCCAGTAGCACTGGATACCCAGTTAACTGGGTATATATTTAGCTGATCTATGATTTATTGAATCATCGATAGTTGTTCTTGTGTTAGTACATTACAATTATCTAATTCTGGTATTCTTAACATATTGATAAGAATTCAAATTTTGACCAAATTTTGTATTCTT